GTGCGATTGAAACTTTATGGCCACACTCAAGGGGCCAAAGAGCCGCATGTGGCTCGCGAGCCGCAGTTTGCTGACCACTGGGTTAGGGGAAGCTGAGGATCGAATCAGTGAATTAGAAGACAGGGTTGAAAAAAATCACTCAGAGAACCAAAAAGAAAAAAAAATATTAAAAAACAGGAGGACAGTTTAAGGGAGATGTGGGATAACGTGAAACGTAACAATATTAGAATAGCAGATGTACCAGAAGAGGCAGAAAGGGGGAAAGGGATAGAGAACATGTTTGAAGAAATAATGGCAGAAAACTTCCCTAACCTGGTAAAGGAAAAAGTCACACAAGTTCACGAGGCACAGAGAACCCTAAACAAGAAGAACCTGAACAGGACCACACCCAGACACATCATAATTAAAATGCCAAAAATTAAAGACAAAGAAAGAATCTTAAAGGCAACAGAAGAAAAGAAAACTGTTACCTACAAAGGAGTTCCCATAAGGCTGATGCCTCATTTCTCATCAGAAACTCTACAGGTCAGAAGGGAATGGCATGAACTACTCAAGGTAATGGAAAGCAAGGATCTGAAACCAAGATTACTATATCCAGCAAGGCTATCATTCAAAATAAGCAGTCAAATGAAGAGCTTCCCAGACAAAAAAAGGCTAAAGGAGTATATCACAACCAAACCAGAACTACAAAAATTGCTAAAGGGACTGCTGTAATGAGAAGAAGAAACAGAGAGAGAAACCTAGGCATATAGAATTAAAATGGCAATAAATAAGTACCTATCAATAATAACCCTAAATGTAAATGGATTAAATGCTCCAATCAAAAGGCAGAAGGTAGTTGAATGGATACAAAAACATGACCCAACTATATGCTGTCTACAAGAGACCCACCTCAGAACAAAAGATGTACACAGGATGAGTGTGAAGATATGGAAAAAATTTTTCCATGCAAATGGAAAAGAAAAAATAAGTTGGAGTAGCAATACTAATATCCGACAAAATAGACTTCAAAATGAAGGCCATCACAAGAGACAACAAAGGTCACTACATAATACTAAAGGGAACCATCCAACAAGAGGTTATAACCCTGGTAAACATATATGCACCCAATATAGGAGCACCAAAATATATAAAAAACTTCTAGAGGACTTTAATGGAGAGATCGCCAACAATACAGTCATAGTAAGGGACTTTACTGGATAGATCTTCCAGACAAAAATTTAACAAGGAAACAGTGACTCTAAAGGACACACTGGATCAGATGGATTTAACTGACATTTATAGAACATTTCACCCCAAAGCAGCAGAATATACATTCTTCTCAAGAGCACATAGATCATTCACGAAGACAGACCACATGTTAGGACACAAAACAAGTCTTTCACAAGTTCAAGAAGATTAAAATCATATCAAGCATCTTCTCAGATCACAGTGGAATGAAATTAGAAATCAACTACAGTAAAAACACCTAAAAACATTCAAACACATGGAGGCTAAATAGCATGTTATTAAACAATGAATGGGTTACCAATGAGATCAAGAAAGAAATCAAAAACTTCCTGGAAACAAATGAAAATGAATACACAATAACTTAAAATCTCTGGGACACAGCAAAAGCAGTCTTGAGAGGGAAGTTCATAGCACTACAGGCATACCTCAAAAAAACAAGAAAAATCAGCAATAAGTTATTTAACCCTACAACTTAAAGAACTAGAAAGAGAACAACAAGAAAAGCCCAGAGTGAGTAGAAGGAAGGAAATAATAAAGATTAGAGCAGAAATAAATAACATAGAGACAAAAAAAAAAAAAAAACAATATAAAAAATCAATGAAATCAAGGCTGGGTCTTTCAAAGGATAAACAAAATTGATAAACCATTAGCGAGACTCATCAAGAAACAGAGAGAGGATGCAAATAAATAAAATCTCTCATTTCCCAAACATTATTTGTTGAGAACACTGAAGGTGAACCAATCATTTTCTTCATGGTTCATTCATTTTGTATATTTGAAATTATTTTATGTTCTACATCTAGTATAATTTAAGTAAGTTTGAAATAAATATTAGCACTTCTCAGAGTGGGCAGGAAAAAACAGGATTGGATAGGAATGACTTGGAAGGATATATGCATGTATTTAAAATTTGCTACTAATAACTTGCTGCTTCACTATGGGTTATAGGCACCAATGAGAGAGAGAGAGAGAGAGAGAGAGAGAGAGAGAGAGAGAGAGAGAGAGAGAGAAATGCCACAAAACCAAAAGTTGAACCAGCAATACAATAATTAAGAATATGTCAAGGTCACTGTTAGAAATACAATATTGCTAGTTCTCAATTTCTTTACATACCAAGGCAAACCAGAGCTCATGTCACAACTGTACATAATAGGGGTTAAGGACAAATGTAATGGTAAGCTCCTGATAAGAGGCAGCTCCTTTTAAAAAAGCAAAATGTTAGATCTTCATTGCACATATCTTACTAAACTAATGTATAAATTTTATGCCTGAAAAATTTGGAACAAATATTATCACCCAGTTATTTGCAAACTAGTGAATTATACCATTGTCATACAGCAACTATTAGAGCCAACCATTTTCAATTATTACAAAGCCATTCTTTTCTAGAGGTATATTAGGGAAAATAACTTTTATAACAATTGATAGTTGGGGTGCTGCTGGGGCTAAGATTCATAGATAAACAGTCTGGTAGTTGTGATGACGTCACTTTTATTTTAAGACTCTTTGATTTCTGGTAATAGGAATATACTTAAACTTGTTTATTCCAAAGAGGAATTTATAGGTTCATGTAATCAAACAGAGAAAAGGCAAAGGTAGGGTTGTCCCTAGAGTAGATGGAACCAGGAAATCAAACACCATCAATGTTCTCGCTATTTTCTCTCTGGGTGTTCACTTCATTATTTTGGTTTAGTTTCTCCATGAGGATAGAAACTTTGTTGCCTGCAGATCTCAGTACACATTTACACAGCTTACTGAGCAGAAAGAAAATGGCATTAACCTATAGCTCAAATTTGAAAAATCCAAGGAAAGGTATTTCTAGGCTCAGGCTAAGTCATGTGTCAATCCCAGATCCAATCACTGTGGAGACCATGAGAGGTCCAGAATGAGTCAAGTGCTCTTCTTATTCCATTATAAAAGTCAAGAAGACAGGGTCAAGTAAGAGAATGGCTGCTTCCAGACAAATCACATGACTGCATTTTTGTTTTATGTGTAGGTGTGAGGGGAAGGTGGGGGAAAGAAAAAGGATTCCCCAGAGAAAGGGGTGAGTTATTAAGGGTATTTTCAACGAGAAGTTTACTGGGAACCAACAATCCACCTACTTATGTCCATCAAAAAGATTAATAAAATCAACATATATATAATCCAACTTAGAACCTTTCTTTCCAAGCTGTTCATCCACCCTATATCTGTTAATAGAACCCCATATTCTCAGAATCTAAGGGCTGACTTTTTCACAAGAAGGACATAATGTCACCTTCCTCTCCCTTTCAACATGATTTCCCTCCCCTACTGGCAGGTCTAAACAGACTTCTCCCTCCCACCCCACCGTCAGTGTTTCATAAGTCTTAGTAGATTAGCATTTCAGAAGGGAAGCTCATTCTTACAGGTGAGAGAAGATCCCAGTTCCTTCTAATTCAACCAGTCACACTGGAGTTGCAACAGGTGGGTCATTACAAAAAGAAAAAGGGAAAAGAACAACAGAAAGAACCATTCTTTTAAGGTTTTGTTTCTCCAATTGCTACCCATTCCCACTGAACCCTCTACCATCCATCTACCCTGTTGTTTGTCTTTGACCATCAGTGAGAGACTCCATCTAGAAGGAGTACCTTAAGGGAGGGGGCATTGCACTCTTTATTTCTATTAGTTACACTGTGCTTTTAACACATTACAGTCCCTGTAGAGTGTGTGCAGTCAATGGTGAAGTAAAGGGGCAGGGAAAACTTCAGAGAAAAGCACAGCAAAATACTAGTGTTCTGGAAGAACTGCAATAATAGAGATTAGGATGAGATAATAAGTAGTCAATATACCAGCCGTGGGCAAACTACGGCCCATGGGCCTGAAATGAATAAAACTAAAAAAAAAAAAAAAAAAAAGACCGTACCCTTTTATGTAATGATGTTTACTTTGAATTTATATTAGTTCACACAAACACTCCATCCATGCTTTTGTTCTGGCCCTCCGGTCCAGTTTAAGAACCCATTGTGGCCCGCGAGTCAAAAAGTTTGCCCACCCCTGCAATATACCCATAGCTCTCCCAATATTCTCTCTTGATGTTATCACCATCTTTTAATCTAGATAAACATGTACACGTGGTTATGCTAGGGTGAGATGAGAGTAGGATACAGGTGTGACAGCTCATCCGAGAGGATTTTGAGCCTGAGTCTGAGATACAACTGTTAAAATGGCTTTGCGGAGAAGAAATCTAAGAGGATGAGGTCAGAGGAATGGGATGGAAAACATACACATGGTGCAACTTCTTCACTAAGTTAGGCAACCTGCTCTCTGGGAAAGGACTATTAAGCCAAGACTTTCTTCAAGACCGAGGCTGACCAGAGATGCCTTTTAGTCCACAGGGAGTTATCCTGTTATTCTTTCAAAGTTTGAGAAGGCTTATCAGCAGCTAGGCACACATAACCTTATTCCCTGTCTGTTCTCCCCAGTTTTCTCAGGGGAATATTTCTGAATATTAGAGACATGGAAAAAAATGACATATTCTCCTTTTTTCTCTCCTCATGTAAGGATTTCACAATTTAACTACGGGGGCCCTCTAGAATTCTTTCTCTCTCAGTGATCAACAACAGGCAAATGTGAGTGCTTTAACCTTAAACACTGGTCTCAGCTGAATCTACCAGGAAAAAAAAAAGGTGTAAGAGTGAACTTTGCCCTATCACAATACTTTGGATCTTCACCCCAAACCAATACTTCCATCCTTGGAACACATCATAATTCCCGAACTTGTACACTATGTCAAGCCTCTGGGGTCTTACCTGGACTGCTCTGTGTCCAAGTAGAGTTGTTTTTCCCTCCTTTTGGTATGGATTCCAAACCCTCTGCCTTATGCCCTAAAAAAAAAAAAAAAAGAGAGAAGAGCACAGATTGGGTTGGCTCAGTGGATAGAGCGTCGGCCTGTGGATTGAAGGGTCACACGTTTGATTCCAGTCAAGGACGAGAGAGCAGAAGCAGGTTTTTGGAGCAGGAGCAGGTTTTTTGGAGAGGAAGATGAGGGGGAGAGGAAGATAAGGGGGAGAGGAAGATGAGGGGGAGAGGAAGATGAATTTCAAAGAGCCTTCCCTTGCTGTATTTCTGTGTGTGCTTCTGGTAAAACCAGGTGGGCAGGTGCTTGAACTTGTTTTTCTCTATAAAGCTGCAAAAACAAAACAAAACAAAACAAAACAAAACCTAACCTTCCCCAGACCTGCCTGTCTTTTAATGTTGTACAGCCTTCATTTTAGTTTGAATTAAATTCTTTATACATGTGCCAGGGGTTATTATTATCCATCTTCTTCAACCTTGGCCATACTGTAATTTGTAAGGTTTGGATTTTTTTCCTTTGCACTTGGGCACTGGAATTATAATCATACTAGGGGCCCAGTGCCCACTCCTGCTGCCGCCGCTCCCATATACTGACAGCGCTGGCCCCGCGAAAACCTGCTTAAAGGCGCAGAGGAGAGGAGAGGAGAGGAGAGGAGAAATAATACTCATTTCATTGAGCTAACTAACTACTAATGTAACTGTTTCTTATATCTAGTTTGTATTCAAATTTCACCAATTGTCTTATAACCTTTTTCCTTTTTTTAAAGTTGGTTTTTTGAATCAGGATCAAACAAGAACCACACACTGAATTTGGTTGTTAATGTGTTTTAAGTCTTTGAAAATAATATATATTTCCCTTTTATCATTTTTTGTCTTGCTATTAATATGTATGAAAAAATAGGTATTTTTATAGAATACCATTTGTCTTATAGAATTTTTCACTTTCTGGATTTGCAGATTTTATCCTGGTAGTGTTATTCAATACATTCTTCTGTTCCTTATATTTCCTATAAAAAATCAGATCTAGAGACTTGACCAGATATAAGCTAGGTTTGATTTGGAGGAGCAAGAAGACTTGATAAGTGGTGGTATGTCCTTCTTAACTGCTTCATATGCCCAGTATATCTCTAGCTGTCTCTTGGTGGTGTTAAGAATGAACAGTGTTCACTGTTGTCAGTCTGATTCGCTCACTACAAAATCCCCCGTCAAATTTTCACCTACTTATTTTAGCAGCCATTAATGATCACTGCTAGATCCATTATTGATGATCAAAAGTGATTTTTTTAAAAGAACTGAGACTATTTCATAATGCTTTTTCATTTGAACTGAACTATTTGTTTCTTTCATTAATGTACTTTATTAAATTAAATAACATTTAATGTGAAACTTGATAATTGACCTTTTTTCCCCCCTTTAGTAATCTGAGATAGTTCTGGAACTTTATGAAAGACATTCAAGGTGCTGTGCTCTTTCATAAGAAAAGCCAAAGTGTTGTTTTTGGAGCTGTTTTTGTCATGTGCATGTGTATTTTTCTCCCATTATTGTCGAATGTAATTATAATCTTACACAAATGGTCTGTTGATTTGAAATATCATGGGAACACTTTGACCTAGAACATTTTCAAAGAGGTTAGTTACTGGATATCCAAGCTAAGGACACTTTACACAAGTATAGCTTACTTTTTCCTCAGATTTTTGTATTTTAAATCTGGTTTCTCAATTTCTTGTAGATTTTAAGAAGCCTGACATTCAAGGCTTCCTTTATCAGGCCCCAATTCCCATTTCATGGTTTCATATCCTACCATTGTATATTCTCACCTATGGCCCAGCCAGACAACTGACTGCTTTCCTTATATCTCTCATATCCCCAGGGATAAAGTACTTCCTTTAAACACATAGGGCCTTTACCTCTCTGTCTCTTAAGGTACTTGTTTATTTTTTATAGATTCACATGTAGCGTGTCCTCCCAAAGTGTACAGACACAACTTTAATAATTATAAAGGTAGTATTTATTAAAATATATTTCATTTTCAAATCTGAGCTATCAGCTGTTCAAGTGTGTATACATTTTGCAGGGGACACATGCTGTCCTAGTAGACTTCTAGTGTACAGCTACTGCTTCCTGGCTAATACCCTTGTGTTTTTATTGGGATGAAAAAATTTTTTTACTGATCTTACTGGGCAACTTTGAAAAATATAGAGAATACAGTATTATTTGACATTTTCACATCCACATTTATAAATGATTTTGCTCCTCCAACCCCACCCTCTATCGTCTTTATGAGGTTTAGTGTGAACGTTATCCAAGCTTCAGTAAAAATGGCATATGATGTAGTTGCTAACAACAAAGGTTATCTAAGTTCACATCCTAGCTTCACCGCTTAAGAGCTACATGACCTTAAATAAGTCACCTAGCTGCCAAAGACTAGGGTGATAAAACAGAATGTAAAAGCTATAAACATTCATAAGGTAGAAATGGAATAACTAACAAACATTGAGAGAGGGAAAATAAAGAAAATGGAAGTGTGCTACTTCATACTTTTATAGCTAGAGTCAAAATCTGCACTTTGACTCCAGCTATAACTAAAGCAGATAAACATATACATCTGTCTATTCTTAGATTTATTAATACAAAGGCAACCTTAAGAAAAATAATACCACCAATTAATATTCAGTAGTGGAGGAAAACATTCTGAGAGAAAGAATATGTTAATTTAATCATCATCAGAATAAGCAGTAAATAGATACTGTCCAAAGCAGGGCTTGACAAATATGGACTGTTAGCTAAATCACCACTAGTTTTTGTAGATCAAGGTTATCTAAATATAGCCAAGCCAATTTGTTTAAAATACCACAATCAAGTAGCTGCCAAACAGACCTTATGGACTGCAGAGCCTAGAATGACCTGCTACAGAAAATGTTTGCTGACCCCTGTCATAAAGTAATAGGGTATTTAGTATATTAAATCTATACTAATAATAGAGAAATATGCAGATTATCCGTTACAGCGTCACGTCACGACCGGATCAGCAGGCTGCGTCCCCGCCCTTTGCTCAGGCAGCTACAAAGCCCAGGGTAGGATAGGATACAATAGGAGGGGATAAGAAAGGAGAGGGAGAGGAAGGCAGGCCTGCATGCAGACAGGCCAAGAGGAGAAACAGAAATACAGAAAGGGAACAAGAAAAAGACGCAGGAATGGAAAAGGGAAGGAAATGCAGGGCTGCACACAGGAGGGGGTGGTGACCGCAGGGGGGGTTAGGGGGAGAGGGAAGCAGGTGCACCCAGCGAGGGGTAGGGCAGGAGCCCCACCCAGACACAGGAGGAGGGTGGTGGCCCCTGGCATGGGCCATTGGCGGGGAGGCGCCCACAGGTCCAGGACAGAGTGGTGGACAGTCCAAGGCCTTCTGGGTGAAGGCGCTCCCGCTTCACAGCAGCAGCAGCACCCGGGCCGCACAGGCCTCGGCCACCCTCACTGGGCTGGGCGTCCCGGGCAGGGAATGGGAGCAGGACGGCTGCAGGGAGGCCGGGGAAGGGGAGGGCGGCGAACACCTGGTGGGGGCTGAGCCCTGGGCTGGGGGTTAATGCCCCTCCCCCCCAAATGGAAGCTTTAAGAAGGAAAGGAGGGAGGGAAGAACTTTATAAAGGAGTCAGTAGAGAGCAGAGTTAAAGAAGGAAAGAGGATGTATGAGTGAACTGTAGGAGCTATAATGAAAATCAAGTATAGTTGTGTACTGGGGACAGATTTTAAAAGTAGGAGTCAGAAAAGAAAAAAGATAAATGATAGTGAATAATTAGGCAGGTAGATAGATAGATATTAAAACAGTGGAAGTAAGTAGAGAAGAATGTATGGCAAAGGTAGGACGAGAGAGAAAAAGAGAGGGAAGAAAAATTTTAAAGGGGAGCTAATAGAGCTTATAAGGAGAATGGGAAGAAGGAAGAAATGGGGAAGGGAGCAAACAGGTCTGAAGGAGGAAGTGAAGGAAAACATTAAGGTGGGAAGGAAGGAAAAGGGGATGGAGGAGAGGGGTAAAGATAAAGGAAAGAAGGAATGTCGGGGGGGGAGGGTAGGAGAAAGATGGGAAGAAGCATGATGGAAGAGAAGTAGGAAATAAGGAGGAAAGAAAAGTTTGTAAATGATGAGTCAGTAGGAAAAAGTGTTACCTAAAGGAGAGAGGGAGAAGCCAATAAGGAAGTCAAATACAATTGTGTATGAAGGGGATTAGATTAAAAAAAAAGTTAATAGGGGCAACCAGGCCGGCAGGGGAGGGCAGTTAGGGGGATCAGGCAGGCAGGCAGAGTGGTTAGGGCAGGCAGGCAGATGAGCTGTTATGAGCCAGAGGTCCTGGATTGCGAGAGGGATGTCCAACTACCAGTTGGACATCCCCTGATGGCTCCCGGATTGGAGAGGGTGCAGGTCGAGCTGAGAGACCCCCTCCTCCCCATGCACAAATTTTGTGCACCGGGCCTTTAGTATAATTATAAAGATAGCCTCTATTAAAAGATATAAATATTTCATATTATAAAAAAATCACTGACACAAAAGTTATCTAAAATGTATGACAATGTAACTGACAACTGTGTTAATGTAAGAAAATATTCAAACCTGTAAAGAATTTTTGTTGAGTTTATTTGAGCCAAACTGTCAACAATTGCTGGTAAGCAGAATCTCAATATACTGGAGTATTGAGATAATGCTCCAGAGAATGGCAGTTTTCACCTTATTTTATACATTACAATCAAAGGGGAGACATAAGTGGGTTACATGAAATCCACTGGTGATAGATTAGGGCGGTTAGGGAGGTAGGAGAAAGCAAAGTGGGGAAACCTCTGAGATTGGATAAAAAGTAAAATGGTAGACACCTACTTCTTTTACATAGGTGGGTACAGGACAGTCAACAGTCAAAAATTAACAGGATAACAATAACAATGGGGGAATTTGTGGTCTCGCCCTGGCGAACTGGTGCATTGGTTGTGCCCTGAGGGGTCTGGAAAAAGGTAAGTTACAAATTACCCTGACATTCCAATGGTAT